AAAAAAAAGAGGGGGGGGGGGGGGGTAGTTGGATTTTTTTTTTTAACAACACTTCTAATTTTTTAACAAATAAAAAATACATTTAAATATAAAATATTACATAAATATATCAACGTTTTATATTTATTCAAAAATAAAATGAATGTATTATATTTCATATGAAATTAAATATTTTAAGACATTAAATATTTTTGAGATAAATATCTCATTCTTAACGTCATACACACATTTATTCAGTTTCACATTTAGCCCTGCGCTGTGTTAAAAACTGAAAGATAGAATTGTTCAGAATGGCAAGTTGGCAACACAGGTGTAATGCACACACACACACAAATGGTGTAAATGATGGGAGGGCTCATTTTTGGGTGGACTTTCTCTTTATTTAAGGTAATTTATATTGTTCTCTGCCTTTACAAAAGGAACTGAATGCATGAACGTGAACTGACCGTACTAACAGAAGAACCACCCATGTACATCAGGCCCCAGGTGAGCTCTTCTTGTATTTTACATGCAAAACAAACAATACTCTAGGGAACCTTTCACATTCTGTTCATTAAGAGGTTGTCTGTGCAATTTATTTTCAGTTTTTTTTAAATGTCATCACTTTGGTTAATTTTCTACTTAGAGAACTTTATTTTAGCTCTCTCTGATCTCTCTCTGTCTCTGTCCCTCGCTCGCAGGCTGTAATCAGCAGTATTAGTGCACGTGTGATTGGACTTCTAATTTGGAATAAGGCTGCTTCTGATGAGAGCACTGGGTCAGAAAGTAGGAACAGATGGCCTCTCTCACTCTCTACTTCTTGGTTTTCTTCCCTCTCGCTCTTTGGCTCCTTCCTAGAAACCAGTACTAACCAAAAGTAGTGCTGCTACTAACTTAACATTTATCTGTAGTGTGACAGTAGCACAGCTGTTTTCAAAATAGCGATGCCAAGTACATACTACAGGACAGAAGCTCCAGCATCTGCATGTCAACATGTCTCATACACTGGAAGTGCACTGGCAATGACACTGTGCAAGTTAACTACATTCTGGGGCGTTTTGTCACAGACAAAAACTGAGGGTGACAAGCTTCTGTATGTGTGTGTATGTGTGTGTGCGTGTGTGTGTGTGTGTGTGGCAGTGTAGCATGACAAAACCTTGCTTTTTTGTCACTCTGCTTTATGCACATGCAGCTTTACAGCCAAGCAATCTAACATGATAATCAAGCACACCCTCCTGAAATTTTGGGAATCTGGTTTGTTTAAGCAAACTGGTTTGTCATACACACTGTATAAATATATAGAGTCGCCTCCAAAAGTCTGGAAATACCATAGACAAAATGGGATTTATAAAGTGGAGTGGGACAATATCAGCATAAATCCTTGTCATTTTGTGATGACATTACATTGAAAAGGAACAATACATTAAAAAAATTATTAAACAAAAATGTATGAATACATAACATAAAATACTAGAGCTAGAACCACCTAAACACTGGTCTAATTGGTCTGTCTAACCCGACTTTGTAATTAAAATGTGATGGACCAATAATCTTCAAAAAAGTAATCTGTTCTGACTGTGAAATGTATATAAAATGTGATTATTATGCAAAATTTTAATAACTGATGTTCAAAGACAGCTGCCAGCTATTTTAATACATTTATGCAATATAGTTGATATATATATTTATGCAATACAGTTTTTTGCATATACTAACCTTTAGAGATATACTGTATATGAGCAATATTACACAATTTGCTCATGCCGCATACCGATATACAGCTATACTGCACTGCTACGAGTGTGATATTGCGTTTATACAACAGCTTGACGGCACGAGTGTGTAAATAAAAAAGAGACAATGACAAAGTGTCTTTAAAACCCTCTTTTGTGCAGAACTACTTCCTTCTGCCACAGATTCAAATCTCAGTTCAACAGTTTAACAGCTGAGCCCAAGCCTCTGATACTAATTCCAAAATGTCACTTTAGAACTAGTAACGAAGGAACGTTGAGTTGCTTAATTGAAAGCTTATTGTATTACTGTATTAAAAGCGGTGTATTATTTTGAGTAGAGTATTATGAGAGAGAGATGGACTGAGTGAGTGATTACCTGTATCTGATCCAGCATTCATTCTTCAGCTCAATCTCATATTCTCAAAAAAAGATTAGTTTGAATGTCCGCTGAGGAAAGCGATATCTTTGTCATAATATCTTTCATCTGTTATAA